CTGCAGATCATTTGGGCCATGGAGCTCATTTAATCACAAATGAAAAAAAATATAACTAATTCCCAAGTGACGATATTTCTTGTTTTTTTTCTTTGCTGCAGATCATTTGGGCCATGGAGCTCATTTAATCACAAATGATGCAAAGACCGGACTTGTTTGGAAGTTATGGGCCGGATTTCATTTTCATTTTCAAAATCAAATGACATAGAAAAAGGCCGGACTTGATTGCTTTTGAAAATAAAATGGGAAACTCCAATGGGCTGCTCCAAGATTGAATCAAGTGGGCCGGTTGCAGCTGGCCTTTGAATGGGCCAAAGAAATAGATTTTGATTTTTAAAAGAAAATCAAATGAATCTGTGTGTGGGCCGGACCTTGCAGGTGTGGGATTAATTTCAAACTTGATTGCTGCATTTTAATGGAGACCAAAGTTAGCTTTTTCAAATGGGAACCGAACTTGATTGATGCAAAAATCATTGTGGGCCGGACTTGCAATTTTTACTCCTTGGAAAATCAAAGAAGATTGGGCTGCAGCTTTGATTGGGGATTTTCATCTTTGAAAATCAAATAAATCATATGGGCCTCCTATATTTGGGCTAGAGAAGAACAAAAAGCAAATTCAATGGTGGAGATTGTTGCTTGGGGCTCAAGACAAATCCAATGGCTCATATTCATTGAAGATTACTATAAATAGGGGTAGAGAGTGAGGGGTTAGAGGTGTGAAAATTTTTGTAACTCCTTTTGGAGAGGAGGGCTACTCTTAATTGAGAAGGCCTTCCAAAATTGTAACTTTTTGTTGCAATTAATAATAATAATTTTTTCACCACTTTAAATTTTTCTCTTCTTCTCTTTGTTGGATGATGAAGATGAAGATGAAGATGGAGAATTATTTGAAGGTTTGCATTTCTTTCTTTTTCTCTTTTATTGCTTATTAGTTTAGATTTATTTCTATGCTTGTAGTTAGATTTTATTTTCTTATTAAATAGCCAAGAGGCTAGAACCCTCTTGCCTTAGATTTATTTCATGCTTATAGAGTAGATTTATTTTCTTGCATTTAATTCTTGCAATTTTATTTTGTAGTTTAGATTTTGCAATTTATTTTGTAGTTAGATTTTAATTTCTTGCACTATTCACCTTGAGGCTAGAACCCTCTTGGGTTTAGTTTTTCTTTTTGTTTATTTTTATTTTGTTTGATTCGCCTTTAGGCTAGAACCCTCTAGGGAATCACCCTTTTCTAAGAAGTGGGTTCAATTTTAGATTACTCATATCTATAATTGAATTCACCATCTTTAATTTCTTGCATTTTCTTTTATTCTAGAATTTTGTTCTTCATTCTTGAATTTTTTTATTTGTTTCTTGATTTTATTCATTTTTCCTTCTCACCTTATTGTTCATACTCACTCTCATTTACACTTTGCACCTATTTACACACCACTTTCACTCTCTCAATCTCTTCACAATCACATTCACTTATCACTCCTATTTGTCACGCACACAAAATAAGAACCAATTTCATATTTTCTCCTACAAAACACCTTCCTCGTGGGATCGATATCTTAAATACTATAACTTGACACGGTTGTGCACTTGCAACCTTTTTGGTACATGTTTATGCCGCATCAGGTAGCGATGAGAGTTTGATTCTCGTATCCTGTTGACGATCCAAACACTTCAACTCGTGGAACACGGTCTATTCCTCTTGACTTGACGTCGGGAAGAACTTGCAAGGCAACTTTAGAGCTCTAAACGAGTTTTAGAAGAACTTGCTGAGCAAATTTTAAACTCTAACCGAGTTAAGAACTCTTGGGAAGAGTTGATTTCAGAAAGGAAATTAATTCTTTTTTATTTAACCTAAATGATTCACAAGCCAAGGCAAAAGCTCCAAGAAAAGCTCTTGAGAAAGCTCCAAGAATCCGATCAAAAGGTCCTAAAAGTCTCTAAATTTCTCTTTTTAGCCGAGCTGATTTCTCGGCTATATATATGGGTTTAAGGGGTGTAACAAACCCCTTAAATCTCTCCTTAATGGGGCCTTAGTGCCCTCATTTCGTGCAAAATGGTTTTGGAGCCGTTTAGAATATGTTTGAGTTTGTCAAACGTGAGATTCACGTTCTGGAAACGACCCTCGCGTTTAGAATTAAAAACACGGTAGTGAGCTCCGCATTTTGGACTTGAAACACGGTGGTGAGCTTCTCATTTTGTCCTTGGTACGTGGTGGCGACCTTCGTGTTTTGAGCTTGGGGCACTGCGATGAGCTCCGCGTTTTGAGCTTGGTGTGCGGCAATAAGCTCCGCGTCTTGAACTTGGAGCATGGTGATGAGCTCCATGTCTTGAGCTTGGAACACAATGGTGACTTCTACGTTTTGAACTTGGGATGTGGTTATGACCTCCGCATTTTTATTTTAAGAGATCATTATCTTGTAACCTCTTCTGTTAGAGTGTTGCGAGGATTGTCATATTGTAATCCCGGCTTTTGGCTCTTTAAGATATGAGAATCGTCAGTTCGTAACTCTCATTCGTTGTTGCGAAAGCTGTCAGATTTCAACTTTCATCGTCAGTTGTTGTGAGAGTCGTCAAATTGTAACTTTCATTGATTAATATGAAAGTGGGTTTGCAAGTGGTTTGCAAGTGGTTGTGAAACATGGGAAGTCTGGAAAGAGAGTAGGGAGATGAGTTTAAATTTCAAAAATTTCAGCGGTTGTTAATAGAGGAGAACGTGGGTTTGCAAGTGGTTATGAAACATGGGAAGTCTGGAAAGAGAGTAGGGAGATGAGTTGGAAATTTTTGAGACAATTGGATTTGCAAGTGGTTGTGAAACGTGGGAAGTTTGGAGGGAGAGTAGGGAGATGAGCTGGAGATTTTTGAAACAACCCAACATTTTGTTACTGTTCATCAGATCTTTTTTATTGTTCTCCTTTAACTAGTATTTAGACCCTACAAAGCACGGTTTCTAAAAAAAATTTCTGCAAATTTGGGGACTTAATAGTAGTTTTAACAATATAAGGGACTAATTCCAAAAAAGAAATATTTAAAGGACTAATATCGAAACTAAGAAGTAAAATTGTAATGAAACTCACTCTTCTTTTAACTAATACATGAACCTACAAAATTACCTTATGAATCCTTCCCCTCAAGTGATCTATTTTGAGGAATAATAGTGTATATGAAAAAGTTTCAACGGGCGATTCATCGTCAGGACGCTTATTCCTGCAAGTTATAGCTTATTATACCAATGAATTTAGCAGTTGCAATATTCGCTTTATATTTAGTAGATTCAAACAGTTTAAGTGGCGGTTGACAAATTGGTTTCTTCAGCATATTGAGAAACTCCAACCTTAACCATTGGGGAAAAAATTTGTCTGCTTTTGTCAAAAGATATTATTATCTAAGAGAATGTAACAAATAAATTCTCATAATTAAGTTCTGCTAGTTCAATTCCATAAAAAAGACAGATTCGGTACTTTATTGTTAAATGGGCAATAACTAACAACTACAATATCAAACTTGTCCAAAAAATTCGTCATCAAGCTGTGTCAAGTCACCTACAAAACAACAAAGGTTTCCTCATATACTTATTTATATTCTAAATCATATTTTTTCATAATGATATTCAACTGCTGAAAATGTACAGGAAAATGTACCTCTTTCAACTGAAACACGAACATCGGGTTGAACTCCTTGAGAGAATCACAACAAAGTTCAGCAAGGGAACTTCCTTCATCTTTAACCGAAGCGGGAGGGATTAAGAAGTTTGCACTAAGAGCATCTTCTGTAACTATATGGTCATCCATAATAGTCAAACTTCCAACTCCAGCTAGGATAATATTCTTGCAGAACTAACAAAAGAAACAAAACGATCAGCTGTAGCATTGTTTCAATAGGTTGCTGATAGAACTCCGTCATAAATTAGTTGTAATAGGTTTCGAAACCGCTACTAATTTACAGGATCAGTAGCACAATCAATCTTCCCCAGGTGCAAACTACAACAAAAATATGCATGTATAACAAAGATTATTGCTCGCATAACTGCCAAAAAGAAGCTTAAAGGTATCGGTATCCATTCCATAGCGGGTTTAAAGGGCTGACTGACTTTTTTACATGGAACAAAGAAAACTCATACTGCCTTTTTTACCTGTAACAAAGAGAGTTGAAACTCAACTCGAAGAACAAATAGCCTTTTTTTCAGTTCACTATGACAACACAATATTTTCTGGGTTATCCAAAATTAAAAACCAAAAATACATAAATTTAACGATGAGCGGTATAAAGATTCAATTTTCTCTCACATTTGAGCTAAACTCCAAAGTAATCACCATGGTAAATTTCAAAGGTGTTTAACCGTATACCAAATTACCTCAGCAGTGCCATTCAATCCATTTGCCAGGACATGAGTCTTGCTTAACCTATCAAAACCAAAAAAAAAAAAAATCTCAAAATCACAAAATTTCACTACATAATCAAAACAATCAAAACAATCAAAAATCAAAGTACCTCTTTTGATCATCGACGCCCCAGACGCGGATCTGGCGATCGTAGAGAGCAGTCTCTTGAGCGCTCAACTCCTCTCCGTCCATTTGAATCTGAAGCTTGCCGTCAGCAGAAAATTGAGCAGGCGAAGTCTCAACACAAACCCTCCCGTCCATTTGAATCTGAAGCTTGCCGTCAGCAGAAAATTGAGCAGGCGAAGTCTCAACACAAACCCTCCATTTTTATAAAAACACTTTCATAATAAAAAAGAAACTTATATAGCAATAACAGTTAGAAAACACAACTAAAGCCTTGGATTTCGACTGTTCGATCCCAAATAGCCAATCAATTTAGTAAAACCCTAGCTTGCCATGGTGAAGAAAACCTAAAATCGAGAAATTAAAGAGGAAACCTTGGAGGGTAATTCAACGCAGAGGAGCTCGCAGAGGAAGACAGCGTTCTTGTTGAAATCACAGTTGAAGTTTTTTTGCTTTTTGTTCTGTGTTCACTCTCAGTGAAGGAGAAGGAAGCGAGGAGAGAGGGAGAGGGATCCTGGTTGAAATCACAGATGGAGTTATTTTGCTTTTTGTTCTCGGGAGGTTGGAGGATGAAGAAAGTATCCTGGTTGAAATCACAGATGGAGTTATTTTGCTTTTTGTTCTCGGGAGGTTGGAGGATGAAGAAAGTATGTCGTGGGGGTAGTTGAGGAACGTGGGAGTTGAGGAACGTGGCCAATTTGTGTGGGGAAATTAAACAACGTGTCGGTTGTGGGGAAATGAAAGGAATATATATATATATATATATATTCAAAAATTTTACTGTTCATTAGAACTTTTTTGTTGTTCTCCTTTAGTTTATAAGTTGTAGATTAAAAGAAGTAGTTGATTAAGTCTTTCTAGCAATTACGTCAAAACTCTATAGTTATGATGAGGGTTGGTAATTATATTTTTATATTATGATGCTCTCTTTCTTTCTAATAGCGGATTGTCTTAAAACCAATTGTTGATTTACGTAACTTTTTTGGCCAATATTTTCATAATCAATATAGAAATTTATATGATGGATGCTTCAATTAAGTGCTCTAATTAATAGAACAAGCAGAACCATAGTAAACGTAATAGAATTTTGTTGAAAGAGACTAAGAAAGAATATGACAGTGATTAATTATTGAAAAATAAAATCCAAAATTTATTGGAAGAATAGGATTTCTGTAGTTTAGTACCAACAGTTAGGAAAAAATGCTTGCCGTTGTTTTTGTTGTATAGAAAAATTAAGAAGCACAAGCTATTTGGTTAAAGAAAAGAGATGAAATAGCAAAGTCTATGTGGACAGAATATTGCGCTCGATACAAGGAAGGGAATGAGGTGGAAATTGGATTAGGTGATTAGTATTTGTGTTTTGTATTGTTTTAATTGATACCACCAATATATGCTAGATCATTAAGAAAACAAGTTTGTTTTTTGTTTTTCCTATTATCAAGCTTACTAGAAACCAAATTTTTTGTATCTTTGACATTTCTTTATTGATATATTCTTTTTTTGATGAGCTTCAATATATGTATGTTTAATTTTATAGTTTTGCTTTCTAATTGTCATAATGTAAAGTTTATTCTTGTTGTCTCTATGAATATTTACAATATCACAGGACAGTGAAGAATATAGAAAAGTGTGCATACGGGGGTAGCAGGACTGGATACTTTCAAGTCACTTCAACACTAGATCAACAATCGCCACACTTCTCTCGTTCTCAAGGAGTACACGCTCTTGGAAACGCTTATGTTTTTGGTTGTCTTGGAGATTCGACTAATCAACAATTCATGAATGCTAATGTTGGTGGAACTCCCATTGGGTTCCCACCCATAAATTTGAGCCAACAAATCACACGATCACAAAGCTCCCAGAATAATGCTACACAAAATTCAATTTCAAGTATTGAGGTTAATTCTCCTTCAAAAGATGGAAAACATACGAATGAAGGGAAGAAACGAAAGTCATCCGGGAACAAAGAAAGTATGACAGGAGGGAAAAAGGGAACTACTAACAAAAAATGGAAACCTCCACATATCGAGGCATTAATTTCTTGCTTGGTAGAACTTGCAAATAATGGTTATAAAGTGTATAAGACATTTAAAGCCCCTGCTTTCAAAAAGGCTGCTGAGCATGTGAATTCTATCTTTGGAGAAAATTATACTACATACAATGTCGAGAACCACTTACGAACCCTCAAAGACAAGTGGAAACTTATTTGTGAAGCAAAAAAGCTTAGTGGAGCCGGATGGGATGAAGAGAGTAAGATGATTACACTTGACACTACGACATATGCTGAGCTTATCGAGGTATTTTAATATCTTAATTTTGTCCACCAAGTTAATTTAAAATTTTCTTTTTGATATACCACATTAACAATCTCTATTTTTCTTACAAACAGAGACATCCAAAATACAAGCCTTATTTGAATTGTCCAATTCCAAGATATGAATAACTTCGCATTATTTGTGGGGAGGATCATGCTACTGGAGAATTCAGAGATACAAGTTATGACCCTGACATTGATAAAGAGATTCCAACTATCAATATCGACGAAGATGATCTTGTAGATAATCTTGGTATGGATGGAGTTCGTGTATCACAATTAAATGGAGTGGAACCTTCGAGCATTTTTATCAAGCCAGGAACTGTAAGCGGTAAATCGTCTCGTCCAGTAAAGAATAAGAAAAGGGAGGACTCCCAAATAAATATTGGTGAGAAACTTGTGGAGGAAATGGGAAAGGTAGCCACTGCCATTGTTGGTTTGAAGGAGCGAACTTGGGTTGAGGTTCTTGCTGATAAGGTTTTTGGTTTTCAAGATATTTCCATAGATGATCTTGAACTGGTTTTCGATGAATACTACAAGAATGAAGTTGAAGCGAAGGCAGGGCCGGTCCTGAGATTTTTGGGGCCCTAGGCAAAATTAAAAAATGGGGCCCTTAACTGATAAACTGTCTATTTATAACAAAGATATTTTATTGAAATGAAATGAATATAAGATTACAAAATTACTTAAAACAATTTCTTCGAGCATTATTTGATGCAAAGTCATTAATAATACAATCAACGTCTATGTCTTGTAACATCTCATTCTCGATGCTTAGAATAGCCAAATTGTTCAATCTTTCTTGTGCCATTGTTGAACGCAAGTAGGTTTTGACCAACTTCAATTTTGAAAAACTTCTCTCCGCTGTTGCTACAGATACATGCACAGTTAATAAGATTCGATAGGCAATTGAAACATTTGGATAACAATCAGCTTGCTTAACAAATTCCAAAATTTGGATTGCTGTCATTGACACTTCTGGTAAAGTTTTTTGTAGCACTCTTAATTCAGAAAACATATCATTAAGATCAATATCAGATGAATCATTATGAGATAAAACACTTTCAATATGATTGCAACAATTTCTTAATTTACTATCATCCAATCACTTCAAAGTATCTGAATCACATAAAAACCCAAAAATACTTTCAAATGTCTTTAGTTGTTCAAATCTCTCTTTTAATGAATTGATTGCCATATCCACAACAATTAAAAATAATTAACTCTAAAAGACTCCTCTGTGGATTGTATTTCTTCATCATGATCAGTTTCACCAGGTTGTTTTTTCCTAATGATACGACGTTTTGTTGGAAATGTAGGATCCACATTCATATCAAATGCAACACTTCTAGCAATATCCAAACTCTTCTCAAACCCATCATTTCTAAAATTTTCAAAATATAACATCACGTCTCTCACCTGATTCATAGTAGTGTTAATATTCATATTTTTATTTTGTAATTTTTTTGCTAACCATGTTAATAGCAAACAAAACATCATACCAAATAATCATACCAAGTAAAAATTCAAAGTTCTCAATTGCAGTGACCAAACTTTCAGCTTCACTCTTTGTTTTCGCATCTTCTGAAGTTTTATATAATTCTAACAAAGCCAATCTTATGTGAGGAGCTTGAAATCTAATGGCTTTTACACTTTTCACTCTACTCTCCCAACGGGTATTACACAAAGATTTCACAGTAAATGAAGGAACATTATCAATTAAAATCTTCCACCTCTTAGTAGAACTCGAAAATAATGAATATATACGTTGCACAACTCCAAAAAATGAGATAGCTTTAACACATGAATGTGCCATATCACTAAGAGTAAGATTGAGACTATGGCAAGCACATGGCATATATAATGCTCTCGGATTAATTTCAAGTAATCTTTTCTGAACACCTTGATGTTTACCTTTCATGTTAGAACCGTTATCATAACCTTGGCCTCTAATATCATCAACATCAAGATCAAGTAATTGTAATACACTTAACAATTCATTAAAGAGCCCCAGTCCAGATGTATCATCTACCTTCACAAATTCCAAGAAGTACTCTTCTATCTTTATTTGATTACTGGAAAAAGAAAAGGAATAATAGCACCTGATTAAGTGTATGACAATGCCCAAATAGCCAATGAAATAATTGCAATGTATCTTTGAGAACATATTTTAGATGGAGAAGTTTAATAGACAAACTTTTCTTGATTATCATATGAAATATAATCCCTTTACATAGTAGAGAGAGATTAATAATTATTTAATGTTAGGAGTAAAAATTAAATATCAAACGGTTAAAAAATTACTTGTCAAACGGCTGAATAAAATTTGTTGCAAAAAAAGAGGAGTCCACTCTCCAGATTTGCATTATAGCCTTATAGGAGGGATTAGTTAGTTTGATTGATTAAATCAATCCCGTGCTTCTTGGCAACTTAAACGACAATAATGCAATTAATAAGGCAATTCAATATTTCAATTCAATGACTAAGTTTTAGCTTATAAATATTATTGGGCCAGATTTTAGGTCATACAAAATTTAATAAACTAATGGACCCTATAAAATTTTGGGGCCCCTTTCAGCGGGGGCCCTGTGCGATTGCGCCCCCCTGTCATAGCCCAGGCCCGGCCCTGAGCGAAGGCTTTTATGGTATTGCCCGAACCAATACAGAGAAAGAGGATTCTTAACGTGTTGGAGAGGATAGGTAGGCGATCAACTTTGGACAACGATCAGAGAGGAACTACTAGTTTCAGAAACATGGACACCCCTTAATAAATGGTTCTCAATTTAATCTATTTTTCTAGTATGGATAGTCTTCTTTGAGATTGTATTTTATTATTTTATTTTAAACTTAATGATACTAATTTATTGTCAATTATGCGTGTTGGACTTTGATATGAATTGAGCTTACAATAAGACTATGATTCTTATTTATTTTCAGCTATTTCTTAATAACACTTTCTTTTTCTCATCTCAATATATATTTGTAGGTAGAATGTTTGTTGCTTTTTCTCTTTTTCTTTTCCTTCTTTTTTTCATTTTTGGTGCCTAATTGTTGGTATATTCATATCATTTTTGTAACATGGATTCATCGATGAAGCATAGAGGCAATGAGGCTATGTAGGTAGTGTAGCCATGCACGATGAACAGACTTCTGTATCCATGTACGACGAAGAGAATATTGACCATCTTGATTTTACTTCTGTATCCTTGAAATTAATTGGGGACTCTAATGGAGGTGAGAATGTTGTTGCTGATGGAAGAGC